CCCCCCCCCCCCCCGGTTGGCGACTAAAAAAATAAAGAAAATACAACATACAGCTTAGCTAAGAAAACAAGACGTAAATGGTACGCGTTGAATTTGAACATATTTGAACAGTCATAAAACAAGTAATGTACCCTTCAGGATCTGGATCCACACTGCCGCTGCCATCATCGTCATCGTCATTGTCACCGCCATCGTCCATGTTACCGCCATCACCTCCTGGGCCTGTAATTAAATATAATAACGATAGATTGAAAAACAAAATATTTTTGTAGGGATCAGAAAAATGAGAGAATGATGTTCACGGCATGTAATGGCAACAAAGTTAATTAAAAGCTGCGTCTTATCATGCTTATTAAAATTAGATAATAAAAAAAAAAATTAACCGTGCCGTTTTTTAATTATAAGACCCTAAAGCTGTATTAAGGTTGTTTCTAGCAGGTCATACTATTGCTATGGCAACCTATTGCAGCACAAAAATGATAACATCGTGTTCACCAATGATTGGGAAGTTTTTTGATACCATGATTGTAGCCTTAAATGATAAAGAGTGGTTATAACGACCCATCAAAATATAAACGCTGGAATCTGTTTTGAGCCACTTTCAGGTTGACTTATTGGCATTGGCTAAGTCTATATATATTAGATTTTCCTTTCAAGGTGAGTGTCATGTTATTCAAGACTACTGTTCCATTGTGTAAAAGGGACGGTTTTGTATTTAATAAACTATTCTCGTTCTTACTTTCCCTAATGAGACTTACCAAAGGTAGGACCACCACCGGGGCCGCCATCTCCTCCGCCTCCACCACCCCCTCCGCCACCTTGGACACCACCAGCACCTCCATCACTGCCGCCGTCACCGCCAGCCGCAGAACTTAGCGCTAAAGATAAAGACGACACAATAGGGAAAGCCCTGATCAAGAGCAGAGATTATATCGTCTAGCACGACATTGAGAGTAACCCAATTAATCTAGGATTAGTTTACACAAATCCTAACAGAAACTATTGCCGATCTTGTAATGTTTCATAATAGTGGCTTTTTTCGGCATCGAGAACCGATTGATTCAGTTGACGATATTGCTTCTGCGTTGCATGGTAGAAAACACCCAGCAACTGTCTGAATAACCACTTTCCGTCTTGAGAAACGAAATGACTTTGAACAGAACTTTTTACAAGAGTTTTATTTTACTTGGCAATTTTCCATCCGATTTAATATATAATCTGAAAAGCGAGGCCAGGACTTTCAAATTTTCCTGGCGATCCCGCAATGGCAATCTCAATATGCATAGGGGCCTTGATCCAATTCTCCTTGAGCGACTTTCTCATGGCATATATACTAAAATAAACCAGTGCGATTGCCGTTCTGTTTGAAATTGAATGAAAAGAGTTTTCGTGCTTGCAAAGAAAATACTTAGAACAACCTTTTCTCACTGGAGATTTTTTGCTTAAATCTAAACGACAAAATTTGTTTCGATCAGTTATTGTTCTCATGTATTTCTCAGTAGACTGCCAGAAGGGACAAATATAAAAAATATCCTGTCGTTCCTTGCCATACACTTGATTTAGTTCGACCAGTGTCTTCTAAATCAAGGTGTGTAAGCAAAAGACCATTACTATAAGATTTGCTGACGAAATTTTCTAAGACTGATGCGTTTCTGGCAGTCGTCTGAAACGATCCAAGGTACAGTTAACTAACCTTTCTGACATTGGATGACTCCCATCACTATAGCAAGAACAAGCCAAAATTTCATGTCGAGCGCTGTTTACTTCCTTGTTAGCCAAAACCCGCGTAAAGACTTGGAGCACTGAAAAGTGTGGTAAGGCAAAGTGGATGTTGTGAATTTAAATGGTTTCTCAGCCAGTTATATCGGTGTTTTGAGTGGAATGTTCGTTATTTATAAGCTGTTTCCGAGATACCGATGCAAACATACTCACCCACCATATGTAAACTTGGAAACTTACTAAGTGATTTTTATCTCTGAAACAATACACGTCAAAATGGTCAGCAAGCGATATCTGTTGTTTTATAGAGTATAAATCACTCAAATTCAAAATGAAAATATCACCTCCATGTATTATGTAATACATCAAACACAAAAGACCTTGTTTTACTGCATTTCCAAACAGTGAGAAGAGAGTCTAAAATACCACGCGCAGCGGAATATTTATGGCGAACTTCGAGGTGTCTGGAAATGTAGTTACACACGGTCTTCAGTGTTTCATATATTTTCTCAATCGAAACTTACATGCACTGAAGACGAAATGGGGTTATAAAATCGTAAAACTCTATCGTGATTAAGATTAGATATCGAAACACCAAAATAACTTTAATCTAAACTTAACTCGATGTCGGTTGAACGTAGGCAACTCAAGACAATACAATAAGACAAAGACTACTGCAAGGCTGACACAACGTCGTATATTTAAAACAATATTTCGGCTGGCCAGAAAAGCCATCTTCAGGTTTAGATGTTACTAAATTATAATCAAAGGAGACCTATGGCCAAACTCGTGGATTAGGTGATCTAGAGATGAAACATATAAGTGAACTTGCAATTACTGGTGTATTATTAAATGCTGTTAAAACAAGCCGGGTTTGTACCATGCAAGGTCGCACTTAACTCACAAAAGTGTAGGCGTTTTTCGTTGGCTTTTTTTTTGCACACATATCACAAAGACATACGTCCAGAATAGCTAGGGTGGTAAAATTGCAGCAGAACATGGAGTGGTAAAGGCTAAGGGTTCTTGGGTCACAGAGGACACTCCTGCCCAACAAATCATAGAGTACTCTCCCCCCTTCTCCCCTTCCCTCACACCCAGATCTTGATGTTGATCTGCCTGCTAGAAAATTTTGCATGTCTTCAAGTCGTACGAGCTCACAAACGTTTTTCATTGCATTTCATTCAAGGTTATAGGTAAGGTTTCTTATGAGACAGCACTTCTTTTCCAATGTGGAAGC